ATTCCTATTCAATGTATTAGAGCTCCGCCCTTACCAATGCTTGTTCTACCAAACTTCAGAAACTTTTTCCAATCTGATGAGTGTGAAATGGCATCCCATTTCTTGATTACTAGTGAGGCTGAGTATCTTTCATGTTTACTGATTATTTGCATTTCCTCTTCTTTCAGCTACCTGGTCATAGCTTTTGCCCATTTTATACTGAGTTGTTTTTATTGTTCTACAGCAATTCTTATATTTTATTTCTTTGTCAATTACACAAACTTGCAAATATCTCTCCCTTGCATGTGGCCATTTTTTCAGTCTGTTTATGGTGGTTTTAGTGTACAGAGGCACTTTTAATGCAGTCAAATTAACAATCTTTGCCTTTACAATCTGTCCTTTTTGTAGTTGTTCAAGGAATCCTTCTTTACTCTGAGAAATAAAAATATACGTCTACATATTTTGTGCTAAAAGCTTTAAAGCTTTGCTCTTTTTACATTTAGATCTTTAATCCACAGAATTGATTTCTGCACATGATATAAGCTAGAGGTCCACTGTCTTCTCATTATGAATAATCACATGTCATGGTTCCAATTACTGAGGAGTTAGCCTACCTTTGCCCTTTAATGCCACCTGTAAGACATTAAGTTTCCATATATGCATGGATCATTAATTTATTTTGTCTCTTCACTTTGCTTTATTAGCAGTTTATATTTTTGTGAAAATGGCCCAGAAAAGTTCTTCTTATTCTAGGATAAATACAGACCAAAACTGAACTGATGATGGAGATGCTGAGTGGTTGACAGGTATATTCACAATAAACTAAGTGACTCATTTCTTCTTTTTTCCCCCCACTGCTTCACTTTGAGTCTGTATGAGTCCTTGTGGTTTAGGTATTTTTCCTGGAGACAGAAGATAGTTGGGTTGTATTTTTTCATCTATTCAGCTAGCCTGTGTCTCTTGGGTGGGGCATTTAGACTGTTCACATTGATTGATAGAATTGATATGTGGGATGCTCTTCTGTTCATCATGGTGGGTAGTACCTTATTGCTTTGTCATTTCACTTGTGCTATTGTTTTATTGGAGCTCTGAGCTTTAGCTTTTGGGCAGTTTTACCCTAGTGGGTGTCTATTGTGCTGATCCATGTATAATGCCATTCTGATTATTTCTGTAGGGCAGATATGGTCTTGACAAATTTCCTCAGTGTTTGCTTGCCTGGAAAAGTCTTTGTTTTTACTTCATATATGAAACTTAGTTTTGCAGGATACAAAATTCTAGGCTGGCAGTTGTTCTGTTTAAGGAGACTGAAGATGGGACCCCAATCCCCTCTGGCTTGTAAGGTCTCAGTTGAGAAGTCTGCAGTTAGCCTGATGGATTTTACCTTTGTAAGTTACTTGATGTTTTCACCTCGTGGCTCACAGGAGTTCCTCCTTCATGTTGATTTTGGCCAGTCTGATGATGGTGATTGCCTCTTTGTAATGAATCTCCCAGGTGTTTGTTGAGCTTCTTATACCTGGATGTATAAATCTCTAACAAGACCAGGGAAATTTTCCTCAATTATTCCCTCAGATAGGTTTTCCAGCCCTTGTGCATTTTCTTCTTTACCTGCAGGGATGTCTATGATTCTTATATTTGGCTGTTTTGCGTAATCCCATATTTCTTGTAGGCTTTGTTAATTCCTCTGACTTCTCCATTCTTTGTTTTTGACTGAGTTAATTCAAAAGAGTTTTCTTCAAGCTCTAAGATTCTTCTTCCTGGTCTAGTCTATGCTTAAAACTTTCCATTGTGTTTTGTATTTCCTCAAATGAATTTTTCATTTCCAGAAGTTCTATTTTTATTTATATATTGATCTCTTTAGTGAGTTTTTCATTCATTTCCTGAATTGTTTTTCAGGTTTCTTTGAGTTTGTTTTCCATTTTCTCTTGGATTTCATTGAGCTTCCTTACAATTCATATTTGGAATTCTTTATCTGTCATTTCAATGTTTTCATTTTGGTTGGTATTCATTACTAGAGAGCTGGTTTTCCCTTTTGGAGGTGTGCTTTCATTCTGATTTTTCATACTTCTGGCATTCTCTCACTGATTCCTTCTCTTCTGGGGCAACTGTCACTTTTCATTTTTGTATTTTCTTTTGTTTAGATGGGGCTTTTTTTCCCCTTCCCTCTCACTTGTAAAGGAGTGTCTGTAGCATAAGTTGGGTAAGAACTTTTGACTTCAGTTTGGCTTTTGGATGGATACCTTGGTTACAGATATCCTTGGTCTGGTGGTTTTCTTAGCTGCTAGTTGTTTGTAGGCTATAGCAGTGGTGAGCTATGTGTGTGGGAAGGTTTCCTGTCTCTCTTTAATGAGGGAGGATGGAGGTCTCTGAGATACTTTCTTTTTCTCCAGCCCTGTGGTCTTAAGAGTGTGAATTGTATCAGCATACCCAGTTTAATCTCTGAGCCAGCAGGTGGTGCTTGTGGGTAAGAATCAGCCACACCCTGTATGACTGAGTTGGCAAATACTGTGCAAATTGACCTCCCTGTCAGTAGGTGATGCTGGAAGAAACAAGCTTCAGTGTTGTTTGGGAGACTTGTGATGGGCTCTAGTCCCTCAGGAGAAGCACTCAAATGCCTCCGGTGGTGGGTGGGGCCCTGGAACTTCCAGATGAGTCCTTCTTCCTCATCACAGCAAAAACATGTGAGGGAGCATGGCTGGCCAGGATAGGTAGGGTGAGCCTGCCCTCAGGCTCCACAAATGCTGATAAGGTAGCTGTTACAGCAGGGGTCAAAGATCTGCTTCCAGTTTCTGGGTAAAGCCATGAAGGAGGGGCTGAAGTGGCTCCACCCAACCAGAAAGACTGCTTGTGGAGGCAGGGTCATCTTAGATTCACAATCTGATTGTCAGGAACAGGTTTTGTTCTTCTACCTGCCATCTCCACTCTGTGGTCTCCCTCTGGTGTCTGCCAGCAGGCAGGAACTCAAACTAGCTGAGCTCCCCTTTGAGGGTGCTGTGGGCTGGGAGCTTCCCTGTTCAGGATCCTGCTCTGGGCTGAGAGTATGGCCTTCCTGTGGGGGGATGGGGTGCTCTACTAGTGCATTGTGGCTGGGACCCACAGTGCACTCTCTTTTCAGTTCTGCCCATAAGGGAACCCTCACCTCCCAAGATTAGTTCAGAAATCTCCCCTCTGTGCCCCTGAGCAACAAGATCGAGTCCTGGGGCTATAGGGTCTGGCCTGTAGGCCTGTCCACCGGTCTCTGAAGATCACTTCCTAACCGTGCCAGGGAGAAGTGTGCTGGTCTTGCTCAAGCAGTTTTGATGTCCCTCTGCTTCAGAATGTGCCCTCCTCTGATGGAGTGTTCAGGCAAGCAGCACCAGGGAGGGCTGATGACCAGAGAGCTCACAATCCAAGCACCTCATAGTCTGATGCAGGTCTTTAAGAGAAAAGGTCTGAGCCCTGTTCTCTGTGGAAGCCCCAACAGAGGGTAAGCAGCAGCTCCTGAGAGCCCCGGCTCAAGTGTCTCTCTCGGCAGCTGGGGGCAGAATAGGGGAAGGAGAGGAATAGAGTCTGAATAGAGGAAGCAAGCACTGTGGTCATCTCTGCCTCTCTCTTTGGAAGGCAGCTAACTGGGAATGTCCAGGCTCTGGGATCATGCAGATCTCTTGGGACCCACCAACTTCCTGTGGCTCCCACAGTCCGGAGTTGAGAGATGTTTGTGTGAGAATAAGCAAGATGAAAACAGATGGGCTGATGCTCCGTGGGGGGGACAAAGGCGCACAGTGGGTGGAGAAGCAATATGGTGCCTACCATCTTGGCTTGGATCTGTGTTAATGGGAAACGCCCCAAGGGGGCTGGCAGCCTGGTGCTTTATCCTCAAAAAGTTCCCAGGTCATTGGTGGCAGCAGCTTTTGGGCTCATGAGGGTAAGAAGGCTCTCTAATAGCTCAGCAGTCTTCTGACTGCCAGAGATGCGAGGGAGGGAAAAACAAACCACTCCACCTGCCCTTTTCGCTGGACTCCAAGACACTCGGGGATTGACCTCTGCCAGTATCTTGCTCCTTCTTGTTCTGCTTCACAACTTCCTTCTGTGGAATTTCTTGTAGGTTCTGGCACTTTTCCTTCAGAATTATACCCAATCTATGATTGTTTGTTTGTTTGTTCTTCTTTTTCATCTAAAACTTTTCCTTCTTCTTTCTGAGATGATCTGGCAGCGGGTGTCTCTGGTCGACCATCTTCCAAGGGAAGTCTAAGTGACTCATTTTTAAGCCAGTAATGCAATTATTCTTCACAAAAATTACAAATCACTATACAGACCTTTGAGTTCACTTAGAAATAGATAAAATCTCAAATGCCAAGGGAGTAGTAAGAAAAAATGAGGGTGGCAATGGTCATGATCCACCTACAACTAAGATTTACTTCTTAATCATTAAGAATAAGAATTGCTTGTTGCTCGTTTGGTATTTCTACATTCTCATTAGCCTGTCTGATGCTAAAGGATCCCCAGGATCCCCTAAGCTACAGACCCTGGGTCCTAGGGGAACTTACAATCAGTGAAGGACACACACAAGGTCACGGCTGGGTCTAACATGTCAGATTATGAGAAGTAACAGCTAGAGGTACAGACTTACAGGAAGGAACAATTATTCTGCCCAAGGGAAGTTCAGGGAATTAACACAAGGAAGCAATACCGGATGAACTCCTGTCTCTGTAAATTTTGCTAGAAAAGACATAGCTAAAATTCAGCTACCATAAAGAGAGAAATAAGAAACCATTGGACCAAGATACTCTTCTGCCCATACAGTTAGCAGGTTTCAGTTTAATTCCACATTCAGGATATTGTACTCAATATCCTGGATTTGATAAACTACTCACAGTTACAAATTCACCCCATGCTCAAAGCATATGACATGTAAAGACAGAATTACATAGGATTGACACTTCATCTTATAGGTGAATTTATAATAGAACTTCATTAAATGGTGTATTCCCCTAAATAAATGCATTTTCATTTACTTACTCACAAAATGTGGACTCCTAAGAGTCCTTCCACTGCTCACTGTAAGGTGCACCTAGATAAAGATAGCCCTTGCCCAGTTTCAGCTTCACATGAAGCACATTGCAAACAGCTGAACACAAAGATATTAGGTACTGTGGACCAGAACATTTCCTACCATTACTGGTGACACTAAACAAGACTAATTCCATTCAAGGCACAAGCAATTACAGGCAAAACAACTAAAGTAACAATGGCCAGAAAACACTCTGTGAGATAATGTCACAGATATACAGATAGTCTCCTCCAAATATGTGAAATTACAATTGCAGTGGAGGGAGAGAAGCCTCGGTCTTGTTCCCAGCAGCTGCCCTGTCCCTAAGGAAGTACAAAGAATGGCTTTCGCAATTCTCCAGTCAGGAACTTCTCAACTCCATGGGATTTCTAAGTAATTTCTTAGAAACCAGTAATTCCACTTTTATTTTCTTCTTCCCAGTATGATCTACAGTAATAGTAATTCCACTTTACTTGTTGATGGGGACAACAAGGAGCAACAGGAGCAACAAGGAGCATCCGGGTCCTGCCCAGGCCAGCCAGCAGCAGCCACCAACGCCAAGGTCAGAAGATGACAGGCAGGAGGAGCTGGGACAGCCCGATGAGCTGGAGGAGGAAGATGCCCCCCGCCTTCAGGAAAGGAAGAGCAGACAGGTGCGTGGAGTCGCAGGCGCCAATACGCTCCGGAAGCCCAACTTCCAGTTTTTGGAACCAAAATATGGCTATTTTCACTGTAAAGATTGTAAGACCAGGTGGGAGAGTGCTTATGTGTGGTGCATTTCTGGAACTAATAAGGTTTATTTCAAACAACTCTGTTGCAAATGCCAAAAGAGTTTTAACCCTTATCGAGTAGAAGCAATCCAATGTCAGACCTGTTCAAAGTCTCGTTGCTCCTGTCCTCAAAAGAAAAGACACATTGATCTAAGGAGGCCTCATCGACAAGAACTGTGTGGTCGCTGCAAAGACAAGAGATTCTCCTGTGGGCACATTCACAGCCTTAAATACATCGGGTGATAAGACCATATATATGAACCAATCAAAACAGCAGTAATTGCTTACCTAATTGACTTTGGAAAATACTGAAAAGGCTTATATAACAGGTTTTTCAAGTATTTCACAATCTGAAAATATCCTCCAGAAATACATTTTAGGATTTCCATCTTCCCCTTACCTTAAAGTGTGAAGGAAGAAGAAATCAACTAACACCTGACTTTCTTTCCCTTCCCCCTTTTTTATTTTAATAGATTTTGGAAATACAAGCTGAATTCCATTACATGTATATACTGTATAGTGGTAAAGTCTGGGGTTAGCTAAAAACAAACTTTCTGATTTGCTTGTAAGTTATCTCACAACACAAATAAAGACACATTTTGCCTTCACACTCCCAGGAGTCCCTGGAACATATTACGGTACCTAGAAAACTCAGAAGAGGCAAGTGTTTCAGAATGGCTTGGATATAAAACAAAGACAGGATAGTACTGCTAAAATGGAAATATTTATGCAGTAAGGATTCTGACATGTTCCCAAATATTTCTGCTCTCCTGGCTGCCTAGTTTTATTTAATTTTTGGCAAGGGGCTTTGATGCTTATTTCTTTCTTACTACTTTTCTTCTTTGTATAAACAAACAAGCATTTATTTGATTTCCAATCTGTCTAGCTAAGTCCTGGTAGAAAAAAAGGAGAAAAAATTCTTGCCAAAGGGAGCATAACACTATGGGGATTGCAAGTAGGTGGTAAAAACTGGGACAAGAAGCATGGGACTAATAGAAGAGATTAAATACACTTTCTAAAACAGCTTCTCTAAATGTCTTTGGGCTCGCAACATTGCTCTGACTAGTCATATAGATATTTTTCTACATGTAAGAATGGCATGGGAACTCTATCTCAGAGTTCTTTATTTTGCATAAATAACAATTTATGCTAAGTAAGTTAAAGAGTCAAGATTTCACCTATTTTATTCCCTGTGATTACTGAGAAAAATGTATAGGCTGAGGAACTCCATTAGTGCACTGCTATCACTGTTGTGTGCTTGCTTAGATGATTTTCATCTACAACTAGAAAGTAAATTTGTAAATAAATTGTGAATTATGGTTTTTTTAAAAAAATACTTCCAGGCCGGGCGCTGTGGCTCACGCCTGTAATCCTAGCTCTTGGGAGGCCGAGGCGGGCGGATTGCTCAAGGTCAGGAGTTCAAAACCAGCCTGAGCGAGACCCCGTCTCTACTATAAATAGAAAGAAATTAATTGGCCAACTGATATATATATATAAAATTAGCCGGGCATGGTGGTGCATGCCTGTAGTCCCAGCTACCTGGGAGGCTGAGACAGAAGGATCGCTCGAGCCCAGGAGTTTGAGGTTGCTGTGAGCTAGGCTGACGCCACGGCACTCACTCTAGCCCGGGCAACAAAGCGAGACTCTGTCTCAAAAAAAAAAAAATAAAAAAATACTTCCAATGTAGAGGCTAGTCAGTTATCTATTAGGAGAGTATAACATGGTAGTTAAGAGCAGCCTCTAAAGGCAGGCTGCTCAGTTCCTGTCCCAGCTCTGCAGTTCACTATCTGTGTGAGCAGGGACACGTTATTTAACCTTTCTAGGCCTGGTTGCTCATCTGTCAAAGGAAGGTAATAACACTAACTATGTCACAGGGGTGAAGATCAAATGAGCTAATATATATGCAACACTCAGAACAATAACTAGAGAAGAGTGAGTACTAAGTGTTGGCTTCTGCTATTTTTTTTTTTTAAATAAAATTTCCAGTTGCTATAAGCCAAGGTTGGCTCCCTAATTTTAAAATAATGGGGCAAAATTTAGTGGACAAAAACAAGTGAAACCTTTTATGTAGAATATTTTCACTGAAAATGAGAAATGTAAAGAAATCATAATGGATGAATTTCTAGTGTTCTTCACATGCTATGAGTATGATATTCAGGAATTGCATGCAGAATTAGGCACTTGAGGCTCACTATTAAAGAAGAATGTTTATGAATGCAAGACTGATGTGTTGGGAATAATGGAGGTTTCTCCAGGGTTTCCACACTGTCCCCATTCCCTGGCCCACCCTGCCAAAGGCCCTTCCATACCCTCCCTCCTGGCTGAAAGATCTACTTTTCCTCAAATGTTAATCTTTGGTTCTCAGTTGTTGAGGTTGTTTCTCTCTTGGCCTCTGAGCTATGTTGATGTCTTTCTAAAACAGTCAAGTGGAACAAGCAACAATATTTTTTCATGTTATCTATAATTGCCAAAAACAGAACATACTTATGCTCAAACTCCTTTAAAAATCCTAGGAGTGATATCACTTGAATCTTGGTTTGCTGAAAAAGTGTTTGTAACTATTGTACTCGGCAATAACCTTTCTCCTAAAGACATCTTCAAAGAACAGTTTATTTATTTTCTAAATCACTTCTGATGTTGTCCTTTTCCCTGCTTTTGTGCCACAACAGATGCACAGTCTCTATGTCCTTCATCCAAGGGATGGATTGCAGTAGCCTTCCTTCGGGTGACATTAGCAGAAATGTCAACCAGATACGTCTTGGGTTTATTTTCTTTAGTATAGTTTCCCCCTCCCTTCAGTGCATTATGTTAACCTTTAAAGTGAAATATTTCCAAGTCTTTATAATTGCAACTTCAATAAAAAGTTCTTTTTCTCTAGTTCCAGAGAGCACATAATCAGTCAGGGATTTAATTCTCATTAATCTTAGTATACTGCATAGACAGCCTTTGAATTACCATCCAATGTTGTTACACCTCTGCACACAGAGACAATTGAGTGGAGGGAAGGGCGAGGAAACACTAGAAAACTGAAACAGAGAGGTGCCCTGAGATGCCCTATCTACTGGAAAACAGTCCTCCAGAATTTAGAACAATAAATCCCTAATTAGATTGATCTGTCAGTACCCCACAGGCTTCCTCTTCTCACTTTCCTTAGGAAACCAGACCTAATCTATACAAATGCTCATCATTACCAATGAGAAATTCAAAACTGAGTACAATTATACAGGAAGGTAAGAGAATTCAGCCCCCAGCACTACCATAGGAAAAACTGGAAAATGGGGCAGGAATATTCTGGAATATAGAAAGATTCCAGTTCACCCCTTATTAACCTTACTCCCTGTCAATGTTTCTAAACAAACCAGGCATCCTTAGGGTTTACTGTATTTTTTTTCTTCCATGTCTTGTTTTTATCCTGTTCACAGCCACATGCTAAGCTGTTCATTTATAATTTTAATAGTCTCTAGTTCACAATCCATTATTTCTTCTCCTTCTAGCTTATTAATCTATTAACAACTTCACACTGTGAAAATAAATTAGGATTAGATAACCTACCCAGCTTTTGACACCACTTTCCAGCTCTTTAGCAATCGCTTCAGATACTCATAAACCTAAATATAGAAGCAAGAAACACATAGCTGAAATAATTTAGTATCTTAGTGATTAAAGCAAAAACACGCAATCACCATCTCAAAATCTCCAAGTCAGCCTTGCAGCTGTCATATCTGATCATTGTTTATTTTGATTTATTCATTCCAAAGGTACATGAGACCATGCACCCCTAGCACATAAAGATTTCTAGTGTCTGCTGCCTGAGTATTAGGAAGAAAGAACTAAAGTTATTTAAATTTACTGAAAAATAAAAGCACTCTGCATATCAATCCAAGAAGTTCCCTTGGATTAGAAATTTCCATTAAAACCCAACATAAGCTTTAGATTTTTTTTTAAAAAATGGGGGTGACATTCCATAAGGCCAACAGATGACAGAGGATATAGGGTAAAAGTTCAGCAAAATGACCAAGAGAAACACACCCTTCAGGTTTTTAAGCCTCATAGCTAAACCAAATAGAAGAGTATGCTCAGAAAGAAAAAGTAAAAAGAAGACACCTAAAAAAAAATCTCTTCACAGGTTTGTTCTTCAACCAATCCCAAGTACAGACTGGACATTTGAATAAAATCTGCAACTTTGTGAGAAAACTTTGGAAAGCCATAGACATTTTGGATAAAGTTGTTATAAAATCAAGGAGTTCTTAGAAGCCTTTTAATTTTCCAATTTCCCGGACGCTTACCATCATAATGGCAAACATTTTCCATTCCATCTTCCCACATGCCCACACAGAACTGAAGCTGTTTTCCCCCAAACTGCTTTAAGGTTTGAAATACCCAAGCTAAAGGCCAGATTTCTGAATGTCTCCCTGTGCTGATGACAATTTATAGTCCAAACCAATCCCTTTCTGATACAGCGAATTATTTTGTCTTTTACTGGAGACTGCAGAGATTTAAAGTAGTAGTTTGCAGTTCTAAAAAGCATTCATGCCCACGTCGGCAGTTTCAGGAAGCTTTATTGTTGAACTTCCAAGGAAGCTAATAAACATTTGTCTGGTTTCCCATTTAGATTTTCGGTACTGGAAGAATACACGGCACAAGAGGCATTTCTTCAAATTAGATATTTTTATATCAGCAACAAAATTTATGGACTGCACCAGGTTTAAAAGGCCTAAGTAGAGAAACAGTGTTCTACAAAGAGTGGGCAAGTGACCTCTATTTCACCCTGGGCATCATTCAATGAACTGGAATGACTACTATTAGGAAAACATGTTCCATTTAATTTCTTTTCCCTTCTTCCCGTCTGATCTCGGCACTTTGAGAAGTCCAGTCTGGCAGAAAAGGTAGTGGTGCTGTACCAAATTAGTTTCTAGAGAATCTAGAAAATATGCTGTTTTCTAATCACAAAGCAGCACTTCATCGTATACAAAAAAAGTATATGGCTGAGGCTTCTAGATGCAAGGCTCAAACTTTTACAGGCACCTTAACTGACAGATATTTCCTAGGCCATAGGCACAGATTTGTTTTATTTCATTAGATTTCTTCAAGAGTTCCTATGCTTCTGTTAAGGTCAGAGCTACTCCACTTTTGGAAGCAGAATCCACTTGCAGCTGTGACATAGTGCTCAGACAGCTCACCACCCCCTTCTGTGGGGCAGACCCATGACAAATCACATGGAGATAAGAGCAGCCCGCACCTGTCAGATCTCCCCATAGCTGCACTTCCCTAAAAATGTGGAAACTATTTTAATATATTTTTAATTTGCCCACTGCACTTTTCGTTCTTAAAGACAAGCGACCTTTCCTTTGAAAAATCCTATCTTTTATGAGAAAGTCTTCACCACACATTTTTTTTTGTAACTATGGCATTGTGCTAGTTATAAGTTTTATGAACAAAACTTTTACCTGGACATAAGATTCTTAAAAAGAAATTCTTTCATGGTGACCTGTTAGGGGGAGAGATGTCTGTGCTTTATTCTCTACAAACTTAGTAAATCACTACTCTGGGGATCACACCCGGGGTCGCTGCCACCACAATGAACTGATAACACTAAAGAGAAAGCCTCTGGAGATGCTCTACAGAGTTAGAAAGAGTGGGGGGTTTACTAAAATTACAACTGCATCAAAGAGTGTAGACAAGGGCTGGAAAGTGTGTGTTTGGACAACAGGACTAGAGACTTTGGTTCTAAGAAAATTTTTTAAAAATGGTTATTATACTGAAATTTAAATAAAATTAAAAGGAGTTACCTGGATGTGTAAAAATATATACCATTTTTTAAAATTTAAATTTAAATTTTAGCGTATTATGGGGGTACAAGTGTTAAGGTTACATATATTGCCCATGCCTCCCCCCCCACCCCCCACCCCCGGCTCGAGTAAGAACTTCAAGCATGTCCATCCCCCAAACGTTGCATATCTTACTCATCTGCATTCTCAGAAGGCTATTGTTTAACCCTCCCAAGACGAGAAAGTTAAATATTGAGTTATTACCCATTTTCTTCCTCATTGCTCTGAGTTTCCATAAAACTTTCCTTGGTACAGTTGGGCTTCTTTCTTCTTTGGAAAGTAAAAGCACATTTAAAAGACTCATTCATTCCTTAATGTTTATGGAGCACTGACTATGTTTCAGGTACTAGGTTTAGTATTGAGCAGGAACACATGAAATATGTGCTCTTCTAGAGCTTATATTATAGTGAGGAGAGGAGAAAAATGATCAAGAAAATACAAATTTTCTTGGCGCTTGGTGGAGGCCAGCCAGTCAGTGATCAGCTATACAAAGAACAAAAAGACAGACG